AGATCTGAGCAGGGAGGGAGCACCTTAGGGAATAGCTGCACCCCACACACAGGGTGGGGGACCACTAATGACCGCAGCTGTTAGCAAGGTATGATGGCAGGGGGAAAGCTACTGAAAGCCTCTCTTTCCCACCCACCCATCTCCTTAGGGCGCCCACCGTCACCCCTCCACCGGGGAGCTATAATTACACTGGACAGGTTGAGTGGGAGAATTCTGGATGTGTTCCCATTATGGCCTTATTGATATCTCTGTTATCAGGCCTCAGGCCCCAGCCAGGAGAAACACCTGGTGTAATTCTATTTATCACTAAATCCTTAATATCCCCTCGGAGTGTCAGGACTCATCATTCCAAAGACGGCACGAATGAAGAATATTATTGCAAATCACTCATCTCAGACCTGGGCCCAGACTTTGTTTTGCATTTTTAGAAATGGCTAAAAGTTTAGCTTAGGTTGGATCAGTTAAAGTCATAGCATTTTAAATTTCACCTAAGGTTAAAGGTAGCAGCTTTCAAAACTCTTGATTTCAGAATATCAGGAAGTAACTAAATGAATTAATTGGAAATTATTATTGGAATCAATGAAGCTTTCAGAGCTGCCCTTGTGAGTTCTATAACAAACTCCTTTTTGTTTGAATTTCAAAAAATGTCACCCAGATCATGGCTGGAAGTTCCTTAGATGCATATCTCTGTAATGAACAGGAGGTTTGAAAACGTGCCCCGCTTCTACAGCAGACTTTATTGCTTCTCAAGATGGAAAGCATTTTAGCTTACAAAAAACAACTACCACCATTTCCCTCTTTAATTCCTATCTCTCTGACAGAAACACACTTGAAAGAGTCAGTTGGGTGGACTCTTAATGGCTTCCTGTGGTTGTAGCTCTATTGTGGGACAGAAAGGACATTCAGAAAGAAAAAGATTGCATCTGTATTTTCATAAGGAAGGAATGTAATGCAATCTGCACATAGGTGAGACTTTGTGAGGTACGTGTTGTTGCAGGAATGGATCACATAATAGCTACATTTACAAGATTGTTTGTATAAGAGTTGTTTTCCCTACAAGACTGTGAACTTCACGTGGGCAAAGCTAATTTTTTTTTAGTTTACCTCTATGTCCTTAGACTCTAGCACAAAGTGGATGCCAAAAATATATACTAAATAAGCACTATCAAGGTACCAAAGAGTGGTTTAAAAGAAAGAACTAGGGCTCACATTTTTTAAAAGGCCTTGATTTTTAGGGAAGAGAATTCACCAGTTTTTGATACCGTGTCATTTTGTAATAATTTCAAACCTACAGAAAAGTTTCAAAAGTTATACAAAGAACTCCTGGGTACTCTTCAACCAAATTCCCCAAATTTTAACATTTGCCACACTTAATTTTAAATATAAATGTGAGAGTAAGCTGCAGACATGCTGCCCCTTTACCTCTAAATAATTCAGTGTGTAATTCCTAAGAACAAGGACATTCTTTTATATAACTAGTATACAATTGTCAAAATCAGGAGATTAACAGTGAGACAATATTATTTTCTAATCTATAGACATTATTCAACATTTGCTCATTATTTTAATCATATTCTATACAGTAATAGAAAAATAATTTTTAAGGATCCAATCCAGGATTACACATTGCATTTTTATATCTTTAATCTCTTTCAATCTGGAGCAGTTACTCAGTCTTTCTTACTCTTTCATGAACTTAATGTTTTTGAAGCATATTGGCCAATTATTTTGTAGGATGTCCTTCAATTCAGGTTTATCTGATGTTCCCTCAGGATTAGATTCAGATTTTGCATCTTGGACAGCATCCCCAGATAAGTGATGCTGTGTCTCTTGCTGTGCATCATATCAAGAGACACAGATGTGAGTTTGTTCCATTACTGGTGATGCTAACGTCAATCACTTAATATGTAAGGTGGTGTTGGTCAGGTTTCTCTGCTGTAAAGTTACTATTTTCCCCTTTGCAATTTCCCCTTTGTAGCTAATAAGTATTCTGTGGGGAGATACTTTGGGGCCATGTAAGTATCCCCAAAATTTCACCTGCCAATTTTAGCATCCAATGATAATTCTTGCTTGAATTAGTTATAAACATACTTGCCAAATAGTGATAGTCTAACTCCATCATTCATTCTGCATTTGTTGGTTGGCATTCTCCTATGAGAAAACTGTTCTCATTCTCCTCTATTTATCTATTGATGGATTTATTTATATTAGCGTGGGCTTGAATTATTGCTTTAGTCGTTGGGGTGATAATATGTTAATATCATTATTTATTTGGTGTGCATATTCTCTCAGATTAGGCTCCCATGTTCTCTTGACATGTTCCATTATTTTTGGGCATTATCTTTCTCTGTAAGATAACAAGAGTTTTCAAGCTCAACCTGGACTTCTCTGCCCAGCCCTGGAATCATTCATTCTCTCAGGAGACCTGGTTCCATTAAGTGGAAAATGGTCCCAAATTTACTTTTAAAATAAGGCAAAAACAAAACAGAGAATACACAATTACTCAATAAATGCAATCAATATTTAAAACATACTCTGATCTATGCCATTGCCAGTTAAACAAAAGACACAAAGTTAGACTCAAGACAGTGTAGTATGGAGTTAATTAATGGTGTTAATTTTTTAAAAATATTAGAAGTGATCAACTTAGTTCCTTCCTCTCACAATTAAAAATAAAAAAGCTCTCCATATATTAAAGCATTAATCATGAAAAGAAAGCAGAACCATTTGAAGAAAATTTAGAAAAATAGCTTTAGAATGCAGAAGTAGTGCAAGATTTCCTAAACAAGCAGAAAGTACATACAAGTTCATAATCATTACATCTTTTTGGTAGACTCTCCCTTATATTACTGATCCTCTTACCACTATTAAATTCTTCATCTCAAAGTCTACCTTTTCTGATATCAATATTTGTATACCAGCTTGTTTTTGATTAGTATATTTGCAGTATGTCCTCTTCCGTCCCTTTATGTTCAGTCATTTTCTATCATTTTATTGAGCCATTACTCCTGCAAGCAACATACAGCTGGATTTTGTTTTTAAAATTCAACCTGAAATTTTGTCTTTTAATAAAATTCATTTACAATTACTGTATTATTCTTCCTGATACACTTGGACTTATTTCTAATATTTCATTTGGTTTTTCTGTTAACCACACTTTTTCTTTTTTTCTTTTCTCGACTTCTTAAATTGGTCATTTGTGTCTTTCTAGGAATCTGGCTAATTCATCTACTTTGTTTAATTAATTGGCATAAAGTTATTAATAATATCTTATTATAATCCTTTTAATTTTTGTAGGGTCTATAATTCCATTCCTGATTTTAGTAATGTGTGTCTTCTGTATCTTTTTCATGATCAGTATAGCCAAAAGTTTATCAATTTTATTGATCCTAGCAAAAAATTGACTTTTAGTTTCATTCATTTTTCCTATTGTCTTTCAGCTTTTAATTTTATTAATTTATCCTCTGATCTGTATTATTTCCTTCCTTCTACTTACTTTGGGGTTGATTTGCTTTGATTATTGATTTTTTGATCTTTTGTAATAAATATTAAAGGTATAAATCTCCCTCTAAGTCCTGTTTTAGCAGCATTCTAATCATTAGGATAGATTGTGATTTCATTTTTATTCAATTCAGGTATTTAAAAGTTTTTCCCTTGTGATTTCTTCTTTGACCCAGGGTTATTTGGAAATGCCTTGTTTAATTTCCTAATGTTTGGGAGTTTTTTAGATTTTTTTCTGTTGTTGATTTGGTCAGAAAGCATACTTTTTATGATTTAGATTCTTTTAAATTTATTGAAATTTTAAAATGGCCTGGCATATAGTCAGTCTATGGTGAAAGATGTTCTGTGTACACTTGGAAAGACCGTATATTCTGCAGGTGTTAGGCAGAGTCTTCCATACATGTGTCAGCTCAAGTTCATTGCTAGCATTATTCAAATTTTCTATATTCTTACTGATTTTCTGTGTAATTGTATTAATTACTGACAGAAGAGTATTGAAATCTCCAACTACAATTTATTGTATTGTCTATCTCTCTTTTCAGTTCTTTCAGTTTTTGCTTTATGTACTTTGGGGTTCTCTTGTTAAGTACATAAACATTTATAATTATAATTTATATTATTTATTATGATTATATATTATATTAATTTATAATTATATCTTCCTGATGTATTGACTCTTTTATTTTATTTTTTTTCATGCTTTATTTGTGTTTATTTTTATACGTTACCTCACATAGAGCTTGACAGATAACAGACACTCAGTAATGCTCACTGGACAGAATTTATGAAAAAAATCATCAGATAATATAATCACAGTGTATAACCTCATTAACTGATTTTAGCAAACTTTACTACGTATGTTTAATACAAGGGACGGAAGGACATCGGTTAATATGTCAAGAATATGATATAATATCTCATTTAATTTTACAGTAGAAACATTTTACAAATGAAAAGATAACAAAAGTAAATTTAAAAAAAATCCTCAGGAAGTATATTTAGATTTCGTAAGGTCATACTGCTGGGGTATAGCTAGAATTTTGACTCTTTTATCATTAGGGTATATCCCTCTTTGTCTCTAATTATATGTCTTCTGAAGTGTATTTTCTTGGATCTTAATATAGCTATTTAATATTTGCATAGTATACATTTCTCCATCCTTTTACTTTCACTGAATTCATTGAATTTATAGTGTGTCTGGTAGACAGTATATGGTTGGGATTTCTTTTTATAAAATTCATTCTAATTATCTCTGCTTTCTGATGGAAGTGTTTAATTCATTCACATTTTCTACCTTTTATTGATATGGTTGGATTTACTTTTGCCGTTTTTCTTTTTGTTTGTATTTGTCATTTTTCTGTCATTTCTCTTTCCCTCATTAAGTACCTTCTTCTGTGTTAAGCAAATATTTTTTATTTTTTAAAAAATTGTGTGTGTGAGTGTATTATAAGGTGAATTTTCAACTTATCACAATCTATTTTACATTAATTCTGACTTACTTCTGGCAGAAAATGCAACTTTGTTCCAGTAAAACTTCATGTTTTCTGCCTTTCTGTGTGCTTATCTTGTTACATATATCATATCTATATAAGCCCAGCAATACAGGGTTATAAATACTGCTTTAAACCAGCATACAACTGGATTTGTGTTACAGTCTGATGTTATTCCCTTTCAGAATGGAGGACTTTCTCTTGTATTTCTTTTAGGGCAGTTCTCCTAGCAATGAATCATCTCAGTTTTTATTTATGAGGAAGTGTCTTCATTTCACCTTCATCTTTGAAGTATAGTTTTGCTGGATATAGAAGCTTTAAGGATGGTTTTCCTGGAAGTTGAATTCATCACTGATAGCTTTTGTATGTCATTCCACTGCTTTCTGGCCTCTGTTGTTTCTCATGAGAAGTCAGCCATTGATTGCATTTTTATTTCCTCATTATACCTTTGTCTTTCCTCAATTTAACTACAGAATGTCTAGATGTGGTCCTTTTTGTAGTTGTTCTGTTTGGGGTTGATTGAGCTTCTTGGATCTGTATGTTAATACTTTTTAACAGATTTGCGAAATCTCTGGCTACTATTTCTTCAAATAATTTGCTACTTCTTCTCCTTTCTTCTCTCCTTCTTGGAATAATTCACATTGTCCTACAGGTTTCTGATGCTCTGTTTATTCTTCTTCAATCTTTTTTCTCTCTATTCTTTAGAATGGATACTTTTATTTGCTCTATCTCCATGTTTACTAGTTCTTTCTTCTTTCCTCTTAAATCATTATTGAGCTCATCTAGTGAATTTTTCATTTCAGTTTCTCTATTTTTCAATCCTAGAATTTCCATTTGATTCCTTTTCATAGTTTCAGTTCCTCTATTGAGATTCCCTATTTGTTGGTGAAACTAGACTCAGTGTCAGTCTAGTTTCCCTTAATTATTTGAATATATTTATAATAGCTGCTTTGAAGTTTTCTCTGCTAAATCCAACATTTTGGCCCATTCAGAGACAATTTGCATTGGTTGCTTTATTCCCTGAGCACGGATCACACTTTCCTATATTTTATAGGTCTAGTAACTTTTGGTTAACAATTGGACATTTTAGATAATATTTTGCAATGACTCAATTCTGTTTTATTTTTCTGAGTCTTTATCTTTTTCGTAAATTGTCTGCACGTGTACTGTGGAATCTCTCTCTTCCATAGTGTGGAGACACTGATGTGTCTGCTCAACTTATTATTCTACTTTTAATTTTTTCAACCTGGCCTTCTGGGGTCACCCCATGTCTAGGTAGCTCAGTGATTGGTGAATGATTTGCACAGAAGTTGTTCTCGAACACCTCAGGCCTGTAAAGCTTCCAGCCTCTGCCTGTTGATCTGTGTGTGAACTGGAGAATCCATTTAAAGTTGCAACCAATTCCAAGCCTCCCCTAGCTTTCACTTTTTACCAGGCTCTCTGAAGTCTCTCCTAGGCATGTGTGTTTCCTCTATCAGCCAGGTGTGTGTGTGAAGAGTTTAGCTCCGGCCTTTTGTGGCTGTCTCATTTTCAGAATCTCTTTGTTAAATTTATGTCTGGTCCACTCCTCACTCCAGCTGGGACAACAACCTTAGACTAGCAAAGTTTTCTCCTTCTATTCCCCTACAGCACCCCACTGTTAGCTGGCAAAACTGTGAGATTTTGTCCCCTACTTCAACCCAAGTAGAGTGCCTTCCACAACCTCACCCTGCTTTGGCAGCAAAGCTGCTCTTCACTGCTAGCCATAGACTGGTAAAGCTACAGTTTTGCCTAATGAGTTGGGGATGAGGCAAGAAACAGGGCAGCAGCAGTAGCCCCAGGCAAGAAAGCCAAAGACTCTTGCTCTAAAAATTTTTCAAACATAAATGTTTCTCAATTTGTTGTCTACCTTTGGTTTACTTCCACTGCCCCCAAATTGTTATTTTTGACAATTTCATCCAGTTATGTATTTATTTTTTGCAGAGGGAAATTGTCAATCTTTTCACACTATCATTATATGAAATCTCGATTGAACTGGTGGTATTTTTCTCCCTTTTAAAATCTGGTTTCAAAGCTATAGATTCTATTTTTTTATCCTTTCAGAATTTACCTTTTCATATTTAACATCTATATATAACTGTATCTGTTTTATAAGGTCTAAAGTTTTTCTACTTCTCCTTGTATTTCCTTCTTGAACAAAATAAAGATCTTAGATTGTTTTAGCTGCTTTTTCTTATTGCTGTTGTTGTCTTGAATTTTAGTTCTATATCTTTATAACAAAATTTTGTCATTTTAAAAGTCAATAATTATTTAAATTTACTAGAATCTTTTACTGCTTTGTTTCTTATATTTCTTCCTGTGATGATATTGGGATTATTCAAAATTTGGTTACTGAGCTGGTAGATATCTCAGCCCAGGACCAGTTAGCATGAATTTTTCTTTAAACCATTTATTACAAGCTCCGGTAGTGGGTTTCAGCCTCTTTTAGCCTCTTCCTGTGGGTCAAATACAATTGCTTACTTGATTCACACAATGTGCTGGCTCCTGTCCATACCACTGGTGGGGGTGTGGGGTGTTAATTGCTTCACTTGACTTTGAGGGAAAGCGTCAAACTTCCAGTCATCTCTACCAGTTTCTAATCCAGAAAATTTACACTCTGCCTCCACTTATTGTTCCATTATCATTTATCTGTTCCATTTAATGTCCATGGAAATGCTTTTGGTATTGTTTTGTTATTGAGGGTAGCTGTATCTTTATAAATGAAATATATATATATATATATATATATATATATATATATATAAAACAACATAATATATATAATATATAACTTTAATATATTATATATATATAACTTTATCTGCCATTGCTTCATTTGAAGCAGAGGAAGGTTTAAGGAATGAAATTACAGCACCCTAATCCTAATCAGTGCCAGGCTTCCTTACCCCATCCCTTGCCCCAGCCGAGTTTGGCAGTTTGGAGAAGGAGCTGGGTGAAGAGCTCTGTGAATGAAGTAGGGATGATAATGATGATGTTGATGATGGCAAAGATGTTGGTTTTCCTAGACTTGGAAGAGAGGACTTTATCAAGAATATTACTTGACCTTCCAATGGCTCAGCTCTGGGAGGCTGTGTTTTAGGTAATGTGTTAGATAAAACTGTAACACGTGTTGAAAATGGGTCTGTTCTTATCTCAGTTTCAGCTGGGGCACCAAGATAATAGATGTCATATTAACAAAGTAAGGAGTCAGAACACCATGAAGAACTTTTAAAGGAGGTTTCATAGCACACATCTAAGCTCAGCACACATCTCTAGCCTATAAAATAGGTTGGAGTGCCAAGGAAAGTAGAGTAAGAGATAAGAGGAGAGTTTTATTTTCTTGAATTTGTCTAGTGTTGTGCACTAGAATATGAGCTCCATGAAAGCAGGAATTTTTATCTATTTTGTTACTGTTAGGGATGGATGAATGTGGCAATATTTAGAGAAAACTGTCCTTGTGTTATGAGTTTCTGAGGGAAAGAATGAGAACTACCTCACCTCAAATGTAGGGGAAATGTGCCTCAACAGGGCCACAAAGAAAGGTGAACTAGTGTCCTGAGAAGTTTAAAAGGGGAGAGCCTAGCTAGTGGCTCTTTAGGAGCTGGAGGAACAGGAGGGGTTGTGTTGGGATGGCTTGCACCCTCGGAGTTCATTCGCTGGGAAAAAGATGATTAAGCGTTTTCCTTGGATCACATGCAGATCGGACATGTGAGAATGAGAGCTGGAGCGGTGTCATCTCAGATGATGTGCAAGAGGCTTGGAGGAAAGAGGGGATGCAACACAGAGCTGAACCTCAAGACTTTCAGGGGCTAAGAAAGGCATTGTGGGTGACTACCCAAAGTTTTCCTTGCACCTGCAGGAAAACACAGTAAGAAGTAAATTTTTTGGTCTTGTTTTGCATAATATTTGATTTTTTCCTAACTTTTTGAAATGTTTAGATACCTAAAACTATTATTTTAGAATTTATTATTTTCTCCTAAAATAAAAATAGTTTATTTAAAACATATATATATTTTAAGATATATTGTTGACTTTAAAAGGAGAGATTAGAAGACTTACTTTCTCAAGCCACAACTACATAGTCCGTGTCTAAAGAGCTTAAAAAAAAAAAAAAAAAGTGAGCTCTCTCACTCATGGAAGGGAGGAATCTACTCCAAAGACACTGGCAAAATTGTAGATAAGAAATAAAAATATGGCAAATGCTATCTTTTCTTAAGCTTTATAAATTTTAATTATTACCTTAGTGTCTTTTATGCATCAGAGCATTTTCTAATAACATATGGTAATCCCTAAACTACAGCATCATATTGGGGCTAGTATACAGAATATAAAGAAAAATGAATTGAATATTTTAAACATATATATCATGAGCTCTTTAAAATCCAATAATTGCATGTCACAGCTTTTCAAACTAGAAATGAAAAAGCTACTGAAGCACCTTACAAGGTAAGTTACCATAATGCACTGGCTGGAAAAGTACATGCAATAGTAGAGGGACAAATAAAATCTTGTATAGTTGACATTGCTGAATGCCTGTTGGATGAAAAGAACCACAGAACTGCCACCTTTCAATGATTCAGTTACTCAGAGTAAAAATTTAGCTGCAGACAAAAAGACTGAGTTAATATCGCCTCTGTAGAACTGAACTTTTGTCTTAAAATGAACAAATCTACAAATGTGCCTAGACTTGGAGTTTTGCTTGTATTCGTTCAAGATTAGCACCAACTAATCATCAAAGACCTTCCTTTATGTGAATGCAGTTAACACAAGTAGTACTGATATTTTCAAAGTGTTAACATTTTTTAATTGCTTGGTTTATCCTGTAACAACTGTGCTGACATTTGTCCTGATGATGTAAAAGCAATGGTGGGTAAAATTGCTGGTGTCAAGGCAAGAGTGCCAAATTATACTAGTAGTCATTAGCATCTTCACCATCAAGCACTTGCAGGGAAAAAAAAAATAGTTTTGCTGAAGAACGTTTTTAACGAAGCAGTGAAAGTTATTAATTTTATAAAATTTCATCCCTTGAGT